TGTGTGACTAGCTGACTAGCTGACTAGCTGACTAGCTGAGTGACTGTGTGACTAGCTGACTAGCTGACTAGCTGACTAGCTGAGTGACTGAGTGACTAGCTGACTAGCTGAATAGCTGACTAGCTGAGTGACTGTGTGACTAGCTGACTAGCTGACTAGCTGAGTGACTGAGTGACTGTGTGACTAGCTGACTAGCTGAGTGACTGAGTGACTAGCTGACTAGCTGAGTGACTGAGTGACTAGCTGACTAGCTGACTAGCTGAGTGACTGAGTGACTAGCTGACTAGCTGACTAGCTGAGTGACTGAGTGACTAGCTGAGTGACTGTGTGACTAGCTGAGTGACTGTGTGACTAGCTGACTAGCTGACTAGCTGACTAGCTGACTATCTGAGTGACTGAGTGACTAGGTGAGTGACTAGGTGAGTGACTAGCTCACCTGAGGATCCATGTTCTTGAAGGAGTCCATGATGACTGAGTGACTAGCTGAGTGACTGAGTGACTGAGTGACTAGCTGAGTGACTGAGTGACTGAGTGACTGAGTGACTAGCTGAGTGACTAGCTGAGTGACTGAGTCACTAGCTGAGTGACTAGGTGAGTGACTAGCTGAGTGATTAGCTGAGTGACTAGTTGGGTGACTGAGTGACTAGCTGAGTGACTGAGTGACTGAGTGACTGAGTGACTAGCTGGGTGACTGAGTGACTAAGTAAGTGACTATGTAAGTGACTAGCTCACCTGAGGAACCATGTTCTTGAAGGAGTCCATGATGACTGAGTAACTAGCTGAGTGACTGAGTGACTAGCTGAGTGACTAACTGAGTGACTAACTGAGTGAATAGCTCACCTGCGGAACCATGTTCTTGAAGGAGTCCATGATGACTGAGTAACTAGCTGAGTGACTGAGTGACTAGCTGAGTGACTAACTGAGTGACTAGCTGAGCGACTAGCTCACCTGAGGAACCATGTTCTTGAAGGAGTCCATGATGACTGAGTGACTGAGTGACTAGCTGAGTGACTGAGTGACTGAGTGACTGAGTGACTAACTGAGTGACTAGGTGAGTGACTAACTGAGTGACTAGCTCACCTGAGGAACCATGTTCTTGAAGGAGTCCATGATGACTGAGTGACTAGCTGAGTGACTGAGTGACTGAGTGACTGAGTGACTAGCTGAGTGACTGAGTGACTGAGTGACTGAGTGACTAGCTGAGTGACTAGCTGAGTGACTGAGTCACTAGCTGAGTGACTAGGTGAGTGACTAGCTGAGTGATTAGCTGAGTGACTGAGTGACTAGCTGAGTGACTGAGTGACTGAGTGACTAGCTGAGTCACTGAGTGACTAACTAAGTGACTAGGTAAGTGACTAGGTGAGTGACTAGCTCACCTGAGGAACCATGTTCTTGAAGGAGTCCATGATGACTGAGTGACTGAGTGACTGAGTGACTGAGTGACTAGCTGGGTGACTGAGTGACTAAGTAAGTGACTATGTAAGTGACTAGCTCACCTGAGGAACCATGTTCTTGAAGGAGTCCATGATGACTGAGTGTCTAGCTGAGTGACTGAGTGACTGAGTGACTGAGTGACTAACTGAGTGACTAGGTGAGTGACTAACTGAGTGACTAGCTCACCTGAGGAACCATGTTCTTGAATGAGTCCATGATGGCTGAGTGACTGAGTGACTAGCTGAGTGACTAACTGAGTGACTAGCTCACCTGAGGAACCATGTTCTTGAAGGAGTCCATGATGACTGAGTGACTAGCTGAGTGACTAGCTAAGTGACTAACTGAGTGACTAGCTCACCTGAGGAACCATGTTCTTGAAGGAGTCCATGATGACTGAGTGACTGAGTGACTGAGTGACTAGCTGGGTGACTGAGTGACTAAGTAAGTGACTAACTGAGTGACTAGGTGAGTGACTAACTGAGTGACTAGCTCACCTGAGGAACCATGTTCTTGAAGGAGTCCATGATGACTGAGTGACTGAGTGACTAGGTGAGTGACTAACTGAGTGACTAGGTGAGTGACTAACTGAGTGACTAGCTCACCTGAGGAACCATGTTCTTGAAGGAGTCCATGATGACTGAGTGACTAGCTGGGTGACTGAGTGACTGAGTGACTGAGTGACTAAATGAGTGACTAGGTGAGTGACTAACTGAGTGACTAGCTCACCTGAGGAACCATGTTCTTGAAGGAGTCCATGATGACTGAGTAACTAGCTGAGTGACTGACTGACTGAGTGACTAGGTAAGTGACTGAATGACTAGCTGAGTGACTGAGTGACTGAGTGACTAGGTAAGTGACTGAGTGACTAGCTCACCTGAGGAACCATGTTCTTGAAGGAGTCCATGATGACTGAGTAACTGAGTGACTAGCTGAGTGACTAGGTGAGTGACTAGGTGAGTGACTAACTGAGTGACTAGCTCACCTGAGGAACCATGTTCTTGAAGGAGTCCATGATGACTGAGTGACTAGGTGAGTGACTAACTGAGTGACTAGCTCACCTGAGGAACCATGTTCTTGAAGGAGTCCATGATGACTGAGTAACTAGCTGAGTGACTGAGTGACTAGCTGAGTGACTAACTGAGTGACTAGCTGAGCGACTAGCTCACCTGAGGAACCATGTTCTTGAAGGAGTCCATGATGACTGAGTGACTGAGTGACTAGCTAAGTGACTAGGTGAGTGACTAGCTGAGCGACTAGCTCACCTGAGGAACCATGTTCTTGAAGGAGTCCATGATGACTGAGTGACTGAGTGACTAGCTGAGTGACTGAGTGACTGAGTGACTAGCTGAGTCACTGAGTGACTAACTGAGTGACTAGGTGAGTGACTAACTGAGTGACTAGCTCACCTGAGGAACCATGTTCTTGAAGGAGTCCATGATGACTGAGTGACTGAGTGACTGAGTGACTAGGTGAGTGACTAGCTGAGTGACTGAGTGACTAACTGAGTGACTAGGTGAGTGACTAATTGAGTGACTAGCTCACCTGAGGAACCATGTTCTTGAAGGAGTCCATGATGACTGAGTGACTGAGTGACTAGCTGAGTGACTGAGTGACTGAGTGACTAGCTGAGTCACTGAGTGACTAGCTAAGTGACTAGGTAAGTGACTAGGTGAGTGACTAGCTCACCTGAGGAACCATGTTCTTGAAGGAGTCCATGATGACTGAGTGACTGAGTGACTAGCTGAGTGACTGAGTGACTGAGTGACTAGCTGAGTCACTGAGTGACTAACTGAGTGACTAGGTGAGTGACTAACTGAGTGACTAGCTCACCTGAGGAACCATGTTCTTGAAGGAGTCCATGATGACTGAGTGACTGAGTGACTGAGTGACTAGGTGAGTGACTAGCTGAGTGACTGAGTGACTAACTGAGTGACTAGGTGAGTGACTAATTGAGTGACTAGCTCACCTGAGGAACCATGTTCTTGAAGGAGTCCATGATGACTGAGTGACTGAGTGACTAGCTGAGTGACTGAGTGACTGAGTGACTAGCTGAGTCACTGAGTGACTAGCTAAGTGACTAGGTAAGTGACTAGGTGAGTGACTAGCTCACCTGAGGAACCATGTTCTTGAAGGAGTCCATGATGACTGAGTGACTGAGTGACTAGCTGAGTGACTGAGTGACTGAGTGACTAGCTGAGTCACTGAGTGACTAACTGAGTGACTAGGTGAGTGACTAACTGAGTGACTAGCTCACCTGAGGAACCATGTTCTTGAAGGAGTCCATGATGACTGAGTGACTGAGTGACTAGCTGAGTGACTGAGTGACTGAGTGACTAGCTGAGTCACTGAGTGACTAACTGAGTGACTAGGTGAGTGACTAACTGAGTGACTAGCTCACCTGAGGAACCATGTTCTTGAAGGAGTCCATGATGACTGAGTAACTAGCTGAGTGACTGACTGACTGAGTGACTGACTAGCTGAGTGACTAGGTGAGTGACTAACTGAGTGACTAGCTCACCTGAGGAACCATGTTCTTGAAGGAGTCCATGATGACTGAGTGACTAGCTGAGTGACTGAGTGACTAGCTGAGTGACTAACTGAGTGACTAGCTCACCTGAGGAACCATGTTCTTGAAGGAGTCCATGATGACTGAGTGACTAGCTGAGTGACTAGGTGAGTGACTAACTGAGTGACTAGCTCACCTGAGGAACCATGTTCTTGAAGGAGTCCATGATGACTGAGTGACTAGCTGAGTCACTAGCTGAGTGACTAGGTGAGTGACTAGGTAAGTGACTGAGTGACTAGCTCACCTGAGGAACCATGTTCTTGAAGGAGTCCATGATGACTGAGTGACTGAGTGACTGAGTGACTAGCTGAGTGACTGAGTGACTGAGTGACTGAGTGACTGAGTGACTGAGTGACTAGCTAAGTGACTAGGTGAGTGACTAACTGAGTGACTAGCTCACCTGAGGAACCATGTTCTTGAAGGAGTCCATGATGACTGAGTGACTAGCTGAGTCACTAGCTGAGTGACTAGGTGAGTGACTAGGTAAGTGACTGAGTGACTAGCTCACCTGAGGAACCATGTTCTTGAAGGAGTCCATGATGACTGAGTGACTGAGTGACTGAGTGACTAGCTGAGTGACTGAGTGACTGAGTGACTGAGTGACTGAGTGACTAGCTAAGTGACTAGGTAAGTGACTAACTGAGTGACTAGCTCACCTGAGGAACCATGTTCTTGAAGGAGTCCATGATGACTGAGTGACTAGCTGAGTGACTGAGTGACTGAGTGACTGAGTGACTAGCTGAGTGACTGAGTGACTGAGTGACTGAGTGACTAACTGAGTGACTAGGTGAGTGACTAACTGAGTGACTAGCTCACCTGAGGAACCATGTTCTTGAAGGAGTCCATGATGACTGAGTGACTAGCTGAGTGACTGAGTGACTGAGTGACTAGGTGAGTGACTGAGTGACTAGCTCACCTGAGGAACCATGTTCTTGAAGGAGTCCATGATGACTGAGTGACTGAGTGACTAGCTAAGTGACTAACTGAGTGACTAGCTCACCTGAGGAACCATGTTCTTGAAGGAGTCCATGATACGCGAGCTCTTAGCCTCTTGGTAGTAGGAGAAGCAGCCGGTGATGATCACAACGGCGGAGAGAACGACACCAAGGTAGAGCTGCAGAGACACACAGAGAGACAGAGACACAGTGAGACACAGAGACACACAGAGAGACACACAGAGACACAGACACACAGTGAGAGACACAGAGAGACACAGTGACACAGAGAGACACGGTGATGATTACAACGGCGGAGAGAACGACACCAAGGTAGAGCTGCAGAGACACAGAGACACAGAGACACAGAGACACAGAGACACACAGTGAGACACACAGTGAGACACAGTGAGACACACAGTGAGACACAGAGACACACAGAGACACGGTGAGACACACAGAGACACACAGTGAGACACACAGTGAGACACAGTGAGACACGGTGAGACAGAGACACAGAGACACACAGTGAGACACACAGAGAGACACACAGAGACACGGTGAGACACACAGAGACACGGTGAGACACACAGAGAAACAGAGACACACAGAGACACAGAGACACGGTGATGATAACAACGGCGGAGAGAACGACACCAAGGTAGAGCTGCAGAGACACAGAGACACACAGAGACACAGTGAGACACAGAGTGAGACACACAGACACACAGTGAGACACACAGTGAGACACACAGTGAGACACACAGTGAGACACAGAGACACACAGAGACACAGAGAGACACAGTGAGACACACAGTGAGACACACAGAGACACAGTGAGACAGTGAGACACACAGTGAGACACACAGCGAGACACACAGTGAGACACAGAGACACACAGAGACACGGTGAGACACAGTGAGACACAGTGAGACACAGAGACACAGAGACACAGAGAGACACAGAGACACACAGAGACACAGTGAGACACAGAGTGAGACACACAGACACACAGTGAGACACACAGTGAGACACACAGTGAGACACACAGTGAGACACAGAGACACACAGAGACACAGAGAGACACAGTGAGACACACAGTGAGACACACAGAGACACAGTGAGACAGTGAGACACACAGTGAGACACACAGCGAGACACACAGTGAGACACAGAGACACACAGAGACACGGTGAGACACAGTGAGACACAGTGAGACACAGAGACACAGAGACACAGAGAGACACAGAGACACACAGAGACACAGTGAGACAGTGAGACACACAGTGAGACACACAGAGACACAGTGAGACACAGTGAGACACAGAGACACAGAGACACAGAGAGACGCAGAGACACACAGAGACACAGTGAGACAGTGAGACACACAGTGAGACACACAGAGACACAGTGAGACACACAGAGGCACACAGAGACACACTGAGACACAGTGAGACATACAGGGACACGGTGAGCTACAGAGACACACAGTGAGACACAGAGACACACAGTGAGACACACAGAGACACAGAGAGACACAGAGACACACAGTGAGAGACACAGACACACAGAGACACGGTGATGATCACAACGGCGGAGAGAACCACACCAAGGTAGAGCTACAGAGACACAGTGAGACAGAGACACAGAGACACAGTGAGACAGAGACAGAGACACACAGAGAGACACACAGAGACACACAGTGAGACACACAGTGAGACACACAGTGAGACACACAGAGACACGGTGAGACACAGAGACACAGTGAGACAGAGACACAGAGACACAGTGAGACAGAGACAGAGACACACAGAGAGACACACAGAGACACACAGTGAGACACACAGTGAGACACACAGTGAGACACACAGAGACACGGTGAGACACAGAGACACAGTGAGACAGAGACACAGAGACACAGTGACACAGAGACAGAGACACACAGAGAGACACACAGAGACACACAGTGAGACACACAGTGAGACACACAGTGAGACACACAGAGACACAGTGAGACAGAGACACAGAGACACAGTGACACAGAGACAGAGACACACAGAGAGACACACAGAGACACACAGTGAGACACACAGTGAGACACACAGAGACACAGTGAAACACAGAGACACAGAGACACACAGAGACACGGTGAGACACGGTGAGACACAGTGAGACACAGTGAGACACAGAGACACGGAGACACAGAGACACAGAGACACAGAGACACAGTGAGACACACAGAGACACAGAGACACAGTGAGACACGGTGAGACACACAGAGACACAGAGACACGGTGAGACACAGAGACACAGAGACACACAGAGACACGGTGAGACACACAGAGACACAGAGACACAGTGAGACACGGTGAGACACAGAGACACAGAGACACAGTGAGACACAGAGACACAGTGAGACACACAGAGACACAGAGACACAGTGAGACAGTGAGACACACAGAGACACAGTGAGACACACAGAGACACAGTGACACAGTGAGACACACAGAGACACAGTGACACAGTGAGATACACAGAGACACAGAGACACAGTGAGACACACAGAGACACAGAGACACAGTGAGACACACAGAGACACAGAGACACAGTGAGACAGTGAGACACACAGAGACACAGTGAGACACACAGAGACACAGAGACACAGTGAGACACAGAGACACAGTGACACAGTGAGACACACAGAGACACAGAGACACAGTGAGACACACAGAGACACAGAGACACAGTGAGACAGTGAGACACACAGAGACACAGTGAGACACACAGAGACACAGAGACACAGTGAGACACAGAGACACAGTGACACAGTGAGACACACAGAGACACAGAGACACAGAGACACAGTGAGACACAGAGACACAGAGACACAGTGAGACACAGAGAGACACAGAGACACAGTGAGACACAGAGAGACACAGAGACACAGTGAGACACAGAGAGACACAGAGACACAGTGAGACAGTGAGAGACACAGAGACCCAGCGAGACACAGAGAGACACAGAGACACAGTGAGACACAGAGACACAGTGACACAGTGAGACACACAGAGACACAGAGACACAGTGAGACACACAGAGACACAGAGACACAGTGAGACACACAGAGACACAGAGACACAGTGAGACAGTGAGACACACAGAGACACAGTGAGACACACAGAGACACAGAGACACAGTGAGACACGGTGAGACACACAGAGACACAGAGACACGGTGAGACACAGAGACACAGAGACACACAGAGACACGGTGAGACACACAGAGACACAGAGACACAGTGAGACACACAGAGACACAGAGACACAGTGAGACACGGTGAGACACAGAGACACACAGAGACACGGTGAGACACAGAGACACAGAGAGACACACAGAGACACAGAGACACAGTGAGACACACAGAGACACAGAGACACAGTGAGACACGGTGAGACACAGAGACACACAGAGACACAGAGACACGGTGATGATCACAACGGCGGAGAGAACCACGCCAAGGTAGAGCTACAGAGACACAGTGAGACACACAGTGAGACACAGAGACACAGAGACACAGTGAGACACAGAGACACAGAGACACAGTGAGACACAGAGACACACAGTGAGACACAGAGACACAGTGAGACACAGTGAGACACACAGAGACACACAGTGAGACACACAGAGACACGGTGAGACACAGAGACACGGTGAGACACAGAGACACGGTGAGACACAGAGAGACACACAGAGACACACAGAGACACACAGTGACACAGTGAGACACACAGAGACACACAGTGAGACAAAGAGACACAGAGAGACACAGAGAGACACAGTGAGACACAGTGAGACAAAGAGAGACACAGTGAGACACAGAGACACAGTGAGACACAGTGAGACAGTGACACAGTGAGACACAGAGACACATTGAGACACACAGAGACACACAGTAACACAGTGAAACACAGTGAGACAGACACAGAGAGACACAGTGACACACAGAGACACACAGAGACACACAGAGACACACAGTGACACAGTGAGACACACAGAGACACACAGTGAGACACAGAGACACACAGTGAGACAGAGACACAGAGAGAGACACAGGGGGAGAGAGGGAGAGCGAGAGAGACACACACAGACAGACAGACACACAGACAGACACACAGACAGACAGAGAGACAGACAGAGAGACAGATAGAGAGACAGACAGACAGAGAGAGACAGAGAGACAGAGAGGAAGGCATCTCACGTTGTCAGACAGAGAGACAGACAGAGAGACAGGGAGACAGACAGAGAGACACACAGAGAGACAGAGAGACAGACAGAGAGACAGAGAGACAGACAGAGAGACAGAGAAACAAAGAGACATAGAGACAGACAGACAGAGAGAAAGGGGGACAGGGAGACAGACAGAGAGACAGAGAGGAAGGCATCTCACGTTGTCAGACAGAGAGACAGACAGACAGAGAGACACACAGAGAGACAGACAGAGAGACAGAGAGACAAGGAGACAGACAGAGAGACAGAGAGACAGACAGAGAGACAGACAGAGAGACAGAGAGACAAGGAGACAGACAGACAGACAGAGAGACACACAGAGAGACAGACAGAGAGACAGAGAGACAGACAGAGAGACAGACAGGAAGTCATCTCACGTTGTCAGACAGAGAGACAGACAGACAGGGAGACAGAGAGACAGGGAGACAGACAGAGAGACAGACAGAGAGAGAGACAGAGAGACAGACAGAGAGACAGAGAGACAGTGAGACAGAGAGACAGGGAGATAGAGAGACAGACAGGAAATCATCTCACGTTGTCAGCTGAGGGATCATCCTCTGTTCCAGCCTGGATGCCGTAAGCCAGGAAGCACAATATCGCTCCAATCCACAGGAGGACAGAGAAGCCTCCAAACAGCTGTGGAGAGATTCACTCAGTCAGTCACTCAGTCAGTCACTCAGTCAGTCACTCAGTCAGTCACTCAGTCAGTCACTCAGTCAGTCACTCAGTCAGTCAGTCACTCAGTCAGTCACTCAGTCAGTCAGTCAGTCACTCAGTCAGTCAGTCACTCAGTCAGTCAGTCACTCAGTCAGTCACTCAGTCAGTCAGTCACTCAGTCAGTCACTAAGTCTCTCAATCAGTCTCTCACTCAGTCACTCACTCAGTCACTCACTCACTCACTCACTCAGTCACTCAGTCACTCAGTCAGTCACTCAGTCAGTCACTCAGTCAGTCAGTCAGTCACTCAGTCAGTCAGTCACTCAGTCAGTCAGTCACTCAGTCAGTCACTCAGTCAGTCAGTCACTCAGTCAGTCACTAAGTCTCTCAATCAGTCTCTCACTCAGTCACTCACTCAGTCACTCACTCACTCACTCAGTCAGTCAGTCACTCAGTCAGTCAGTTAGTCACTCAGTCACTCAGTCACTCAGTCACTCAGTCAGTTAGTCACTCAGTCACTCAGTCACTCACTCAGTCACTCACTCACTCACTCAGTCAGTCAGTCACTCAGTCAGTCAGTCACTCAGTCAGTCACTCAGTCACTCACTCAGTCAGTCACTCAGTCAGTCAGTCACTCAGTCACTCAGTCAGTCACTCAGTCAGTCAGTCACTCAGTCAGTCAGTCAGTCACTCAGTCAGTCAGTCAGTCACTCAGTCAGTCAGTCAGTCACTCAGTCACTCAGTCAGTCACTCAGTCAGTCAGTCACTCAGTCAGTCAGTCAGTCACTCAGTCAGTCAGTCAGTCACTCAGTCAGTCACTCACTCACTCACTAAGTCTCTCACTCAGTCACTCAGTCAGTCACTCAGTCACTCAGTCAGTCACTCAGTCAGTCACTCAGTCAGTCAGTCACTCAGTCAGTCAGTCACTCAGTCAGTCACTCAGTCAGTCAGTCACTCAGTCAGTCACTAAGTCTCTCAATCAGTCTCTCACTCAGTCACTCACTCAGTCACTCACTCACTCACTCAGTCACTCAGTCACTCAGTCAGTCACTCAGTCAGTCACTCAGTCAGTCAGTCAGTCACTCAGTCAGTCAGTCACTCAGTCAGTCAGTCACTCAGTCAGTCACTCAGTCAGTCAGTCACTCAGTCAGTCACTAAGTCTCTCAATCAGTCTCTCACTCAGTCACTCACTCAGTCACTCACTCACTCACTCAGTCAGTCAGTCACTCAGTCAGTCACTCAGTCAGTCACTCAGTCAGTTAGTCACTCAGTCACTCACTCACTCACTCAGTCAGTTAGTCACTCAGTCACTCAGTCACTCAGTCACTCAGTCAGTTAGTCACTCAGTCACTCAGTCACTCACTCAGTCACTCACTCACTCACTCAGTCAGTCAGTCACTCAGTCAGTCAGTCACTCAGTCAGTCACTCAGTCACTCACTCAGTCAGTCACTCAGTCAGTCAGTCACTCAGTCACTCAGTCAGTCACTCAGTCAGTCAGTCACTCAGTCAGTCAGTCAGTCACTCAGTCAGTCAGTCAGTCACTCAGTCAGTCAGTCAGTCACTCAGTCACTCAGTCAGTCACTCAGTCAGTCAGTCACTCAGTCAGTCAGTCAGTCACTCAGTCAGTCAGTCAGTCACTCAGTCAGTCACTCACTCACTCACTAAGTCTCTCACTCAGTCACTCAGTCAGTCAGTCAGTCACTCAGTCAGTCAGTCACTCAGTCAGTCACTCAGTCAGTCACTCAGCCAGTCACTCAGGCAGTCACTCAATCAGTCACTCACTCAATCACACAGTCACTCAATCAGTCACTCACTATTTAAATCATTCCCTCTCCGACTCATCCATTCACTAATCACGTGATCCATTCGCTTACCACACGAATACGTGTTCTATCCAATCTAGAAAATTAGAATCTGTTTAATGCATTCTATGAATTACAATGCTTTCCTACGTGAGCTATAATTCCCCACGTCAGCGATCAATTTCATTCCCTATGTGAGCTATCAATTTGAATCCCTATGTGAGCTACCATTTGCAATGTCTATGTGAGCAACCATTTGCAATTCCTATGTGAGCTACCATTTGCAATGTCTATGTGAGCAACCATTTGCAATTCCTATGTGAGCTACTATTTGCAATGATTGCTTATCTGGGCTATCATTTACAATGGGCGTCGTCCTTGGTGCTGAAATCTTTATTGTATTTGGCAGTTTGCATAGAGAGAAGCATTGAAATCCCCAGTGCGGATAGGCGACCGCAGTGTAGGGTGTCTCTCTCTCTGTCTGTCTGTCCGTCTCTCTGTCCGTCTCTCTGTCTGTCTGTCTCTCTGTCTGTCTCTCTGTATGTCTGTCTCTCTCTCTCTGTCTGTCTCTCTGTCTGTCTGTCTGTCTCTCTGTCTGTCTCTCTGTCTGTCTGTCTCTCTGTCTGTGTGTCTCTCTGTCTGTCTGTCTCTCTGTCTGTCTCTGTGTCTCTCTGTCCGTCTCTCTGTCTCTCTGTCTCTCTGTCTGTCTCTCTGTCTCTCTATCGGTCTCTCACTCTCTCTCTGTCTCTCTGTCTCTCTGTCTGTCTCTCTCTGTCTCTCTGTCTGTCTGTCTCTCTCTCTGTCTGTCTCTCTCTCTGTCTCTCTCTCTGTCTCTCTGTCTGTCTCTCTCTCTCTGTCTCTCTGTCTGCCTCTCTGTCTGCCTCTCTGTCTGTCTCTCACTCTCTCTGTCTGTCTGTCTGTCTCTCTGTCTGTCTGTCTGTCTCTTTGTCTCTCTCTCTGTCTGTCTCTCGCTGTCTGTCTCTCTCTGTCTCTCTGTCTGTCCGTCTGTCTCTCTCTGTGTCTTTGTCTCTGTGTGTGTCTCTCTATCTGTGTCTCTCTGTCTGTGTCTCTCTGTCTGTGTCTCTCTGTCTGTGTCTCTCTGTCTGTGTCTCTCTGTCTGTGTCTCTCTGTCTGTGTCTGTCTCTCTGTCTCTCTGTCTCTCTGTCTCTCTGTCTGTGTCTCTCTGTCTGTGTCTCTCTCTGTCTCTCTGTCTCTCTGTCTGTGTCTCTGTCTGTGTCTCTCTGTCTGTCTCTCTCTCTCTGTCTCTCTGTCTGTCTCTCTGTCTGTGTCTCTCTGTCTGTGTCTCTCTGTCTGTGTCTCTCTGTCTGTCTGTCTGTGTCTCTCTGTCTCTCTGTCTGTCTCTCTCTCTGTCTCTGTGTCTCTCTGTCTGTGTCTCTCTGTGTCTGTCTGTCTGTGTCTCTCTGTCTCTCTGTCTCTCTGTCTGTGTCTCACTGTCTGTGTCTCTCTGTGTCTCTCTGTGTCTCTGTGTCTCTCTATCTCTCTGTCTCTCTGTCTGTGTCTCTCACCTGACGGCAGAATTTCACCCATTCCGGAGTGGTTGGAGGCGGAGTGAGGGAGTTGGGTCCGTCACGCAGCAAATACTCAGCAGCCTTCGCTTGCGTGAGACCCTGAGAGAGAGAGAAACACGGGGAGAGAGACACACGGGGAGAGAGAGACACGGGGAGAGAGAGAGAGACACGGGGAGAGAGAGAGACACGGGGAGAGAGAGAGACACGGGGAGAGAGAGACACGGGGAGAGAGAGAGACACGGGGAGAGAGAGACACGGGGAGAGAGAGACACGGAGAGAGAGACACGGGGAGAGAGACACGGGGAGAGAGAGTGACACGGGGAGAGAGAGACACGGGGAGAGAGAGAGACACGGGGAGAGAGAGACAGATAGAGAGAGAGAGAGAGACACGGGGAGAGAGAGAGACACGGGGAGAGAGAGACACGGGGAGAGAGAGAGACACGGGGAGAGAGAGACACGGGGAGAGAGAGACACGGGGAGAGAGAGAGACACGGAGAGAGAGAGAGAGACACGGAGAGAGAGAGACACACGGGGAGAAAGAGAGACACGGGGAGAAAGAGAGACACGGAGAGAGAGAGACACGGGGAGAAAGAGACAGAGAGAGAGACAGAGAGAGAGAGACGGGGAGAGAGACACGGGGAGAGAGACACGGGGAGAGAGAGACACGGAGAGAGAGAGACACGGGGAGAGAGAGACACGAGGAGAGAGAGACACGGGGAGAGAGAGACAGACACGGGGAGAGAGAGAGACACGGGGAGAGAGAGAGACACGGGGAGAGAGACACGGGGAGAGAGAGACACATGGAGAGAGACACGGGGAGAGAGACACGGGGAGAGAGATAGACACACAGACAGACACACACACAGACAGACAGAGAGACAGACAGACACACAGAGAGAGAGAGAGACTCAGACAAAGATACAATGAATGTGAGAATCTAATTGCCTGCCAGCATGAAAACCCTCTCTCTGTGTCTCTCTCGATTTGTCTGCGTGTAGGAGGAGGCTCGTGAAGGACGCTGCTACTGGGCTAGTGCCAAGCTAGGTGCACCTTGAGGAAGCTGCAGGGCAGTGCCAGTCTAGGTGCACAGTGAGACATAGTAGGGGATACAGGTGGTTCACCTAGCCTGGCCCAGCAGTACAACCCATGGCACCTGCTGGGTCTATCCCGTGACCTCCTCCTGCACCTAGCCTGGCACAGCAGTCAACCGTGGTGGTGTTTAAGAAACATCGGCACCACGGGAGAGACAAAGGCGGCCGGGAGTGGTGGTGGTGGTGGTGGTGCTGGCCACCCACCCCCTCTGTGAGTCTAGCCACAGTGCTGGAAGCTAGTGGCTACCTGGGGTAGCTTTGTCTGTGTCTGTGTGTGACAGCACTTGCCCCTACAGCCCTGCTAGAGGCTACATGGGGTAGCTTTGTCTGTGTCTGTGTGACCGCACATGCCCCTACAGCACTGCTAGAGGCTACCTGGGGGAGCTTTGTCTGTGTCTGTGTGACAGCACTTGCCCCTACAGCCCTGCTAGAGGCTACCTGGGGTAGCTTTGTCTGTGTGACAGCACCTGCCCCTACAGCCCAGCTAGAGGCTACCTGGGGTAGCTTTGTCTGTGTCTGTGTGACAGCACTTGCCCCTACAGCCCTGCTA